ATCACACTAAGGAGTGGACGGGATCTGGAGCCTGCTACCACAGAGAAGAAAGTTGAAGAAGTTGATCCAATTGCAGTTGTTCCCGAGGAAAAGAAGGAAGAAGAAAAGAAGAAGGAGGGGACACAGTCCCAAAGCAACCCGTTCCAGTCAAAGCTTACAATCCCCCCTCCCATACCCGCAACGCTTAAAGGGGAAGAGTGACACTGAGGACTTCAACAAGTTTTTGAACCTCTTTAAACAGGTTCAAGTAAACGTACCATTCATGGAGGCACTTCAACAAATGTCGAGGTACGCAAAGTTTATGAAAGAACTCCTCTCTAACAAAAGAAAGTGAGGAGAACGGAAATCGGTGGTGCTGAATGAAGAGTGCTCGACAGTGGTGCTAAAGGAGATGCCCAAAAAGCTCAAGGACCCAGGTAAGTTCACTATCCCTTGCTCCATAGGAAGTGAGATTTTTTATAATGCTTTAGCTGATTTGGGTGCAAGCATCAATTTGATGCCATATACCTTGTATGAGAAGCTTGCACTCGGTCTGCTTAAACCAACACGTATGTGCATACAGCTGGCTGACCGATTGGTCAAATATCCCCAGGGGATTGCTGAAGATGTGTTGGTTAAAGTGGACAAATTTGTGATTCCGGTCGATTTTGTTGTCCTAGATATGCCCCAAGATCTTGATGTGCCCTTAATTCTTGGAAGGCCTTTTCTATCCACTGCTCGGGCCCTCATAGATGTTGGGGAAATGAAATCGATTTTGAGAGTTGAGGAGGAGAGAGTTACTTTTTGCATGGCCAAACTGGCAAAACAGTCATGTCAAGTTGTAGATGAATGCTATGTGTTAGATGTCATGGAACCACCCGGAGAAGAGGGAGGAAAACCCCCACCTCTCAAAGAGACCACTTTCGATCCATTCTTTGATAAAGGGCCTGATAAAGGCTTGGAACCGCCCTTTTGTTGTAGTTGTGATCCTCCATTAAATTTGTGGTTTCATGAATTCCAAGTTTTGCGCCATCTGAGGGCGTTTGTTGACAAGAGGTTTGATATGTGGAGGACAACTTTTCTAAATGGACGTGTATTTAATTGAGAATCCCGTGGGTTAGTTGCGTCGGGCAAACGACGTTAAAAATAGCGCTTCTCGAGAGGTAACCCGAGCTTACTTCTGCATTTGTTGTTGTTTTGTTTGTTTTGTGTGTTTTGTGTGTTTTGTTTTTGCAGCTCAGGGTCTTGCTTTGGGGATGATGTGCCGAGGATCACTTAGACTCAGTTTAGTTCTGCACCGACCAGTGCCCTAGGGAAGTTTCTGCGACTCTTATAATCACCTATTTGTAATGTTGACTTGAGTTAAGATTGAGCACGCGTGACCCTTTCCTCTTTACCCCCTTGTGCATAGTGCATATTTGGTCATCGAGGGTGATGCCAAAGTTTAAGTGTGGGGGAGCAAATTGGGCATTCGGGCAGTAGTTGTTACATGTGATTTTTAGAGTTAGCATGCGCAGGTGTTAGTTGTATATTCATAGGAAATTCATGTCAAATTTTTGAAAATTTTTCTTTAAACTGTGTCTTTGTGAGCTGGCTAACGATTGACTGTGCTTTTAGGACACCCTTGAAGTGTTTAGGCTTAAATTGCTTGCAATATAATCTAATAGTTGAAAGGATGAATGCATTAGTCACCCATTTAATTCATAATTTTTCCATCTCACCTGAAAAAGTCCTTTAGGAAAAGCCACTTTGAGCTTGACCATTTTGTTCCTTACCCAATCAATTGAGCTCCATAACCAAATGGCCTGTGAACCTTACCCGTGAATATTTATGACTTAGCCTTGGCATTTAGGGAACTAGGGGATTAATTTGTTAAGTTTAGGGAATTTGTGTAGGAGCCATTTTTGGCACTGTTCCTATGCCCCAAAGTAAGGTAAGAGCAGTCACTTTTTAGGAATTTGATACTTTCGAGGATTGCATTGTAGGCATGGATTCACATTAATAAATGAACTTTAATTGCTATTTTTCCTTGGTGATGTCGAGATTAGAATGGGGTAATGTCTAGTAAGAATCCGAAAGGTGAAAAATTATTATAGCTAGACCTCTTACCTTGCGAAAAAGAGAATGGGAGCCCCGGTCAAAAAGCGTAAGTGTTTTGCACAATAAGATGAAACCTTGGGTATCTTTCGAAAGAAATGACGTTCTCGTGCCAACATGACAAGGAAAACTACACTTAATTAATGAACTTGGATGCTTTAGCAGAATTAGCTTTAGCCCTCCGCGTACTTCAAGTATACGTCAAAGCACCAATGTGCCACGGCGGTTTAGCTTAGTTGTACACCATGTCTGCTCTTTGCATAAGTTTAGATGATTGTTCCTAAAATTGTGTCCTTTTGAGTTCCTTGTTCCTAAGAATAGCCCTGAAGTTCCTGAATGAATCGAGTCTTAGTTAGAATATTCCAATCTATCAAAAGAAAGGGACCCTCTTTTACCATTCACCATCACTTTCACAAGTCCTTCTGATCAATAATTAGTTTATTTGTGTTATGTTGTCATTACTTCGAGGATGTTTTGAGTACTTCGTCAAATAGTTTAGCTTGAGTACAAAGATGTATTTTTGGGAAGAACTTTCTTGATTTAGATTGTCTGTTCTGTGAATATCCTTTTAACTACGTGTGCATGCTAACTGTTTTAAATTCCATGTGGTGATTATCGTAAGTCCCGTTGTTCGATTTGCTTGAGGACAAGAAAAAGCTTAAGTGTGGGGGAGTCTGATAAGTCCGTATTTAGACACGCATTTGATGCGTGTTCGGGTTGGATTTTGATGGTTTTCCTAGCTTTAAGGTGTTGCAAGTCTCAATTTTAGCTCAAGTTGCGATTATCAGGCGTTGGGTCGAGTTTCTTTGCATTTGGAGTTGAATTGAAGAAGTTAGAGTCTGGCAATCAGCGCTTGAGAGGCATTCAGGAAGGATTTGAAGGCATTCGAAGAAGATTTGAGAGATTTGGAGGTCATCGGAAGATTCACGACGAAATTCTAATGAAGAACGAGTATTTGGATTGACCTCGTACATCCGGGAGCGTTTGGAACAAGAAAACGTAGAAAGAGTGAAGAATAAGGTCACGCACGGTCGTGCCCGGCGTTAGGCACGCACGGAATGAAGCGGATGAGCTACTGGAACCCAGGCAATGTCGTGCCTGGCAGGCAGGCACGCCGTGCCTGAAGAGAAACGAGGAACAAGGTACTAGAGGCCAAGCACGGTCGTGCCTGGCAGTTAGGCACGCCATGCCTGGACTCGTTTAAACGGGATGCTTCCGTAGGCACGGTCGCAGGCACGGTCGTGCCTGACCCCGTTTTGTCCTAATTCTACCCAAATTCCACCATTTCCTTTAAATAACACCCCCATAACCCTAATGAGGGGGATGGACTTTAGAGAGCTGATTAAGGACGAAAATTAGAGAACTTTTCAGCAAGGTTTTTCAATTCCTTAACATTCTTTGTAAGTTCCTACTTTTTGATTAATGACAATTAATTCTATTCTTCCCAATTCCGTTGATTCTTCAATTATGAATTGCGAGTAGTTTAATTAGGAGTTTGGGGTTGATGAAGAGGTTTATCATGATGTATGGCTAGTTTCTTGATGGTTTGATTACATGAATGCCATTTAATTTGTGTTTGAATAATTTAACTATTATCTTTTGTAATCTGGAACCCTAGCTAGAATTACAATTGCACATAGAATAAATTAAGAGAGATCTAGTTTATTCTTGGACACATTCACACACATTTAATCATTCGCTAAGAGATTAGTAGCGATTAAGAGACCGTAAGCTCGTTCGTCTTGGCAATAATTTAGGATCCTGTCGCATGAGAGATCAGTCTGGTCCCCTAAATTATTGTACTCTACGCCGCGAGAGCGGTAAGAACTTAGTATTGATTAGCTAGACTCAATTTAATTAAATTCATGTAATTAAGTCTGATCTGCCAGAAATCTGATTACCCCGGAATCAATCCATGTTCCCTTCGTCGTTAATTAGGAAGAACCCAAATCTTTACTTTTATTCGCTCATTCGCATTAGTTTAATTTCAATTCAACCAATAAATCTCGCACGACGCATTTATTTAATTTAATTTCTTTTTAATCGCTGAATTTAGTTAATCTTTAATTCCCTTTTGACCGTCCCTGTGGAGACGATATTCGTACTTTCACCACTATTCTACAATCTTTTTAAGTGCGAGAAAACTCACATCAAACAACAAAACTCAAATGATCTGGATGAAGGGAAAAATTTAAAAATAAAAATAAAAAGTGCAAATACAATCAGAACAAATAAAAAGAGAATAATACAAAACCAAAGGAATTACTTGAATCAAGTATAAATATTTTGCCTCTGGATTCAATGTCTTCAATTAATTGTCCAGTACAAGAAATTTCATCTGGAAAAGGATAAACCAAATACGTAGACCTAATGCTCATTAAAATAAAACTAAAACATCTTAATGTTGTATCAATTAAGCATACTACTATAGCGAATTGCTTGGTAGAGAAATACATGAAAAAGTAGACATAACTACTCAACGTAAACCTGCAAGAAATTAAAAACGAGTTCATAATCTAGTGATCATATTAAATAGTGAAGAAAAATTAAAATAATTTGCAAGAAGAATAGATGAAGAACATTAGATGAGAAAAGAAAAGAATCGAATAAAAGGATGAGAATCGGATGAAATTAGAAGAGTGCAGATGAAAAATTCGAAGAAGGAAGATCACAACGAGCTGGAGATGGTGATCGCTGTAAACTTGAGATGCGACGAGGTGGAGACGATGATCATTGTAAATGTGAAAAGAAAGCCTAATAAAAAATTATAAAACACCTAAAAGGCATAAGAATTACAAAATAATCGGATGAAAGTGTAAGCACGGGTGTACCATAAAAATTGAGTTGCATCCCCGCCATCCTTTTTTTTTGTAAAAAAACTTAACTACTTAAACTGTTAATTAAATCCGTACTACGTATATGGGGAGAAAATAAAAGAAAAAGATAGCAGACAAGTGAAACAACAATGAAAGCAAAATCCAAAAAGATCTCCAACACTAACCACTCCGTCCGTATTGGTTCAGCTCACATCTCATCTCACCTCATCCCATTGCACTGTTAGCTTAGCTCTTTAAAGTCATTAGTGGCTGAGACCTAAGGCCCTCACGCGCCACTCTCACACCCACGCGTATCTTCACTGAGCCGCTTAATAAGAATACTCAACTGTCACACTGAGCTTTTCAGAGGAAGAGGGGAGGGGAGCCTTGCAAGTTTCAGTACAATCAGGTGCTGTTTCGCGCACATGTTGATTCATATGTGCCGCGTAATTAGTCAAGTATTTCTGCTGTGCCCGCGCGTGAATTTCTGTTAAATTATTGTGTTGGATCTCTGTGTGTATGAATTAGGGCTTTTGGAATTTTCGATCTAGAGCGTTGACTTGTAATTTGCTGTTTTTTTCAGTCGACAGGGGTTATCTTTGCTGAGTTAGAATGCAGACTCGGTACATGGAAAGAACCAACTCAATGAGAGGAAAGAGGAGTCTGGACGACGACGAGGAGCAGCAGCAGGAGCGCAAACGACCTGCTTTAGCAAGGTGGTTTTTTTAATGTTATTTGTTTGCTTTACCTTTGCCGCTTGATTTATGTTTTCTCTAGTTTCATTGACTGAATTGATCAAAATTCTATTACATTCATCATTTTGTTGGAAGTTAAATTTAATCGAGTCTGTACTAAGCTGATTCCAACTTCTTTGTTCTTCATCACAACGTTTTTCTCCTGTACTCAAACTTATGTTGATTCTTTGAGCTTTCTTCATTGGGAAGATGGAGTTTTGTTGGTTAGATTGTGCAACGAATCCAGAAAAGCACACAAGGAGTGCTTCCTTTTTTATTATTGAAATTCATGAAACCCTACTTTAAGCTTTGAAATGCATTTGGTTTAACTAATTTATCATATTGAACTTGTTTGTAATTTTTTCCTTGATGAATTGCATGAAAATTAGCTCTGGTTTATACTTTTTATTTTATGTAGTCTGACTCTTTTTTGGGACAAATAAAAATTTTGGACGGAGGACATACAAATCACTAGATGTATCTGTCTGTCTTTGTTAGTTCTGCTTATGAGACTCTTTCACTGTCATTTGGTCTATGTTTGTGCTGTTTGAATTTCTGTGTCCATGGTGTGATAGTGCTTCTTCTCTCTGTTGTGTACCGTCAAAAGTCTTGAGGATTGCACTTTCTTAAGATTTGACTATTTTTATGCAGTGTAATTGTGGAAGCTCTCAAGGTGGATAGTCTGCAAAAGTTGTGCTCTTCATTGGAACCAATTCTTCGGAGAGTTGTAAGATGAAATTGCTACAGAGTATATAATTTAGGCGTTTACTTTTCCTTATGATCTGTGCCTCGATTTTTCTCATGCATTTGGGATTTACTTATGCCTATTAAATCCACAACGCCCTTCGTTTTGTTTTTTTTTTTAGTTTTTTCATGAATACTTATATGTCTTAAATTTGCTTACTAACCAGATTGTTGAAAATAGTTCCAGTGGAGCAGGCTATTTTGCATTTCTGTTGTTATTTGTGTGTCATGCATTCACATTTCCCAATGCTACTTTTTGCATATTCTAATTATAATACATATTTGAGAAACTATTAACTATGGAGTATCTTTTTATCTGATGGATGACATACTTAGTTTTTCACCCAAGCAATATTAAATATTTTGGAATCAGTGGGTTGAATAAACAATAATGTGTGTGCATGTAGAACTTTTCCAAAGAACTGTTTGAAGGATGTCTTCATTTTGTATCTGAATGTTGATGGAATGTCAACCACCTTCAAATGAGGAAAACTATGACTTTCAAGTTTCAACACAGATTGATTTATTGTTTTTAGAATATCTGCAGTCTGCACATTTGAAAGTTAACATTTTGGAACAATTGCAGGCAGCTTTTAACCTTTTGGTGGAGAATAGTAATATTGGTGCTAGCTTTCATGTTTATTCTGACTTTTCTTTTTAAGTGGCGGTGTCTAAGTTTTTAACCTATAATTTTTTAGCTCATTGTATTGTGCCTTTCATGTGTAACAGGTTAGTGAAGAAGTGGAACGAGCTTTAGCAAAGTTAGGACCTGCAAGAATCGTTGGAAGGTTGGATATTGAATTGATTCTGTCGGCATCCTATTTTGGACAAACATTTTACTCCTATTTTGGGCAATTTCTTTTCTATGTTTAGGCTACAGTACTACAGTAGTTGGCTTATCTCTTTTACATCCCAGCAGTGAATTTAAAAGTTGTCTGTCAAAGCAGTGAAATTGGATAAAAACACTGCATTTCTAACTGTGACAAAGGGACCATTTCTGTGTTGTAAAATAGGCAAATGGTACCCTAGTAATTAAAATAATGAAACCCTAATGATTAGTTTGTGCAATATTCAATAGCCAAAGGAGCCTGTCATAGTTGTGGGCAAAAAAAGTAGAAACATTCGTAGTATTATTCCTTTTATCCTTTATGTGCATTTAATACTTACAGTTTTTTTTTTACTATTTCTGTTATAAAAAGAATTGTAGTTAATGAATTGAAGTACCTAGGAAACTGATTTTGTTATGTACTCACTCCGTCCCGAATTAATTGTCTTGTTTGCTTTTGCACAAGTTTTAAGAAAGTGGTTGAAAAGGTAAAAGTTGTGGTTAAGATTTGAGTAGAAAAAGGTGAATTGATATGAGCCACCCATTATTGCCAAAAGAGGAAACAAGACAATTATTTTGGGACGGACCGAAAAGGAAAGCAGGACATTTATTTCGGGACGGAGGGAGTATATGTGTATGCATGTGTGTGTATATATGTACGTATGTATTATGTACGTATACCTGTATATGTATGTATACATATTTGCACACATCTATACATATGTGTGTACACATGTATGTATACACACACACAAAAACATATATTGATTTATGCATACAAGGTTGATATCAAATGAGAACTCCCATATACTTGTTATTAATGAAGGTGGTGTTGGTGTAATATGTTATACTTCTAATTCTTTAATTTGTCTTTTTTTTTCTTATTTTCTTTTTCCTTTATTTATTCATCCATTCCACCTCCATGGATAGCAAGTCCAAACCTTACATTTATGATCAAATGGCCATCAAAGAAAGTTCTCATTTGATATCAACTATATGTATACATATGTATATAGCCAATATATTATGCATACATCTATATATATATATATATGTATATGTATCTGTGTGTGTGTACATGTACTTATGTGCATACACACACATATCTATACATATGTACAAAGGGTGTAGGTCCAGTTAAAGAGGGCTTAAAGTGAAAAATGAGAAGACTTCACTTTTTGATTCCATGCATTGCAATTTTCTGTACAAATGCTGCACTTATTCACAATGGAAAGAAAGTTCACTTAATTACCAAAATCAAACCATGTTATACATATGTACATATATGTATGTATTTGTGTGTGTGTGTTTATATACATATACTTGTATTTATATATATGTGTGTGTGTATAGGAAGCAGATCAGGTGAGAACTGTCTTCAGATGAAACTGCGAAGTAATTTAAATGTTGTAGAAGTTATATATTTGAATTTATAAGTTACATTTAACACATTAATAGTTAATTAGAAAAAAATGTCTTTAATGCATTTATGACTTACTAAAAATAAACAAAACATAGGATATCAAGTGTTATTTGTTGTTTTTATGGTAGTCTCATACTTGTCTTTTATTTTTTCAATTTATCACATGAAGCTATACTTTGATAAAAGTTATATACTCCCTCCGCTTCTGAAAGATCTTTACACTTTCCATTTTTAGCAGTACCGGAAAGATCTTTACACTTCCTTATTTGCCTTTTGGCAAATAAATCTACACAAAACAGTACCAAACAGTGACAAACAGTGTACTCTACAGTAAAGTCAAATTTATTTCCTTAAAAACTGTGAAGTCAAAGTGTCAAGATCTTTTGGAACCGGAGGGAGTATATGACTTTATAAGTTAAATTTAATGAATTAATAGTTAATTAAAAAAAGTGTCTTGAATGCATTTATGGGTCAATAAGTATAAAAATCATAGAGTATGAAGTGCTACTAGTTCTCATCGTAGTTTTATACATGTCTCATATTTCCACAATTTATCACTATAAAGTTATATTTTTCAGAGTTGTTGAGCTATAAGTTATAATGCGTTTTTTGTAAGTTACCTTATTGGTTCTATTAGTTTAAAACTTTGCAGTTTTCAGTCGAAGACACACTTCTAACATGATCTTTTCCTTATGTGTATATATGTATGTATATATGGAAAAGATCATGTGAGAAATAAATATATTTGTATTTCATGTGCAAAATAATACACACATATATGCATGTATATCAGTATATATGGAAAAGATCTCGTGAGATTTGAATATATTTATATCTCGTGTGCGAAATTTAACTTTTAACGCAAAAGCTATAACTTCCTATTCGGCATTGAAAATAACCAATAAAAGTTATATGTTTTGCCATAAATGTAAGGTATTTGTTACTGTAAGTTATATTTCGCAGATGAGAATATCTCAGCAGATCATTTGCTACAGTGCCACACGACACCTCATCATATTTCCATTATGGATGAGATCGCAATGTAATATTAAAAGTGTTCGCAATGTCTTCTATTTATGGATCATGGCATATGCATGTGTATGCATCTAAACATTTATGTTAAGTCGTAAACTCACCTTTATTAATAAGTGCTATCCTTAACATGTGTGGTTACAGTTCATCACCTAAGCGAATTGGAGGACCTGATGGACGGAACATGCAACTTCATTTTAGATCCAGACTCTCATTACCTCTCTTCACTGGAGGCAAAGTTGAAGGGGAACAGGGTGCTGCTATCCATGTTGTCTTAAGTGACTCTATCACTGGCCATGTTGTGACAAGTGGACCTGAGTCATGTCTAAAGCTTGATGTTGTTGTGTTAGAAGGGGATTTTAACAATGAAAATGATGAGGATTGGACGCAAGAAGAATTTGAGAGTCATGTTGTTAAAGAACGAGAAGGAAAGAGACCATTGTTGAATGGCGATTTGCAAGTCACGCTGAAAGAAGGTGTTGGAACTCTCGGGGAGCTTATATTTACAGATAATTCAAGTTGGATACGTAGCAGGAAGTTCAGACTTGGCTTGAAAGTTGCAACTGGATGTGGTGAAGGCATACGCATTCGTGAAGCAAAGACCGAGGCTTTCACTGTGAAGGACCACAGAGGAGAATGTATGCTATAATCAATACAAGCATAAATGCAATGGGTTTATTACACCCACCTTCTCAGAGGTATGGTCAAATTATCTAGCGATCCACAAAGTTTCTGAAAATTACATATAAGCCCCTTGACGAGTCAGATTTTTCACAAACGACATTTGAAAGATGACAGGATATAGTTATGTTATTTGCAGAGATCGAGATTTTTCAGACCAAGTTACTCTAAAGGACTGCTACAGAGTTTTTTAGAAAATGCTTTAATTATTTTAGCAGATAAATTGTACTCCCTCCATCCCTTAAAACTATGCCATCTTTCCTTTTTGGGACGTCCCAAAAAACTTTGCCACTTTCCCTTTTAATCAATTATTTTGTGGTTTATGTTATTTCTCTCTCCTCTTCACAAACCTCAACCACACAGTTTTTACTTTATTATTCTCCGTGCCGGTCAACTTTGGCAAAGTTTTAAGGGACGGAGGTAGTATTGAACACAGATTTGATATGAGGACGTAAAGTTTTTGTGAAAATTTTATACTGTAATTATTTAGTGTTAAGAGTCGTTTGTGGAAATTCAGACTGGTCAAGGTTCTTATTTGTAATTTTTAGGAATCTCGAGGGTCATTTGATAATTTGCCAAATCTTGAGCGAGGTAGATGTAATTAACACTATATTGTTATGCAGGTTATGTTTTGCAATATTCGTTGACTTTACTGTTTCCCTCTTTGCAGTGTACAAGAAGCATTATCCACCCGCTCTTAATGATGATGTGTGGAGATTGGAAAAGATTGGAAAGGATGGTGCCTTCCACAAGAAGCTAAACAGTGCAAGGATATTTACTGTTGAGGACTTCCTTCGTCTTATGGTTAGAGACCCTCAAAAACTGCGTCATGTAAGCATCATCTGATTTTGTTTCTGATTGAATTTTTCAAGCTCTGTATTATCTAGTAATTTCGAGCCACACATGGCTTCCTCATAAAGTTGCGACTTGCACACTGCAGAGATGTGTGATAATGAAGCTATTGGGCTCTATAACAGAGCCCTGTCTACTTGTCTAGCTTCTTAAATTTTTGGCTTTATTTTGACTAATCATGATGCATGCAGATTCTAGGGAGTGGTATGTCAAACAAGATGTGGGATGCCCTCATAGAGCATGCAAAAACTTGTGCTTTGAGTGGGAAGCTTTATGTGTACTATCCTGATGACTCAAAAAGCATGGGGGTTGTTTTCAACAATATCTATGAACTGAGTGGTCTTATTGCTAGTGACCAATATTATTCAGCAGATTCACTTTCCGATAGCCAAAAGGTCTGGGATATTTACCTTCATATGCACTACGGCTATTTTCAAATTGATTAATGGTTTGTTTGTTTCAATAGAATGAGGAAGGAGAGAAGAGGAGAAGATAGAAAAAAGATAGACAAGAAAATAATTTAGTGGGGGGGGGACTTCTTTTCTCTCTTTGCGCACAAAGGGAACATTAAGGGTAGATTGGATTGTAAACGCTTGGATTTCTATTTATACACTCCCCTCTTCCCCTGATCATGTCATTTTTAAATCTAAGTGTATTTTTGTCATGTTAAATATGAAATACATTTCCTTTTCTAGTTTTATTAAAACTGAAATTGTAGAAACTGAAAAGAAATGATACAGATGAGGCAAGTTGGAGAGTGCCTCGTCTCTCCCAAGTCCCAGTCCAATACAAGTTCTGCCTACCCTTCTCACAGCTCACCCCTATTTATTCTTTTTCTAATGGGCCAGCCCACTTCTATTTAGTTATAGGGCCTAAACCCCTTTTATTGTACAATATTAAGACGTAATAGAATTCTTATTCTAGTATTATTTTAGGTCTCTATCACCAACAAAGCGTTAGTATACTCATTTACAGTAGTTCAGTAACTTCCAGTGCATTTACATGAATTGTTTATGTTTCCGACCTTCTGTGCTATATTTATCTTCAAAGTAGAGCTTTGGTGCAGAGTCTCACGCAACCTGCGGTGAGTACCTACACCCTTCTTAGAATCACTCTACCCCCATGAATTCAAGAGAGAGAAAATACCTGAAGGACAACTGATCCACCTGCCTCTCAAACCAACTGAGTGTATCCACCAGTCTCCCACAAGATCACACTAGGTTTCCCTGGAATGAATAAAGCTATCAAAAGATTCTTGTTTCAGAGAGCTACATAATTCTTGTAAACACTCAATTAAGAGCAACGGAATTCATTTATCGATATGAAGTAGGATTTTTGGAAATACAAAGAGGGGAGGTGCTTAGAATCAACCTGTAGCACCCTAAGACCGTCTAAAACGAAATTTGGATACTCCCAAAACAACCAGGGAATTAATTACTACTCCGGGTGACTAAGGTTTGTTTCCATTTTAATTTCTTATGCTCTTTTATCTTTTTATCTTTTATCTTTCTTATGCTCTTACATTATTTTTCTTATATTTATCTTTATCTTATCCATTTTATCTTACTTTATCTTTCTTCTTCTTATCATTCTTCTCTTTTTGCCTCTGATATAATGAATCGATTCATGTTAGCCAACCCCAAAATCTTTTGGGAATAAAGCTTGGATGTTGCTGTTGTTGTTGACTAAGGCTTGTTTCCAAAGTAACTACTTACCTAATAATTAATATACACGAGAATATTAAATAGTGAATTGTTATATTTCTGAAATTATGTATTAATTCAGAATTAAGGCTTCATATTGAAGTTCAGCTCAAAAACTTCCTTATTTCTCATATGCCTCTACTAGCCATTCCAGAGCAGTCAAAATCTTAAAATAAATCCATCTATCCAAGACTAGAAAATTTGCCAAATCAGCCTATTCTGGTCCCCATCAAGCTTCCCATGAAATCAACTTGAGAGTTGGTTCTGAAATGTTTGTTAATTGCAGGTTTTTGTTGACTCCCTTGTGAAGAAAGCATATGAAAATTGGAACCAAGTTGTGGAGTATGATGGCAAAACACTTTTGAGCTTCAAAAACAAAAAAGTGAGACACGAGCTTCCTATCGGCACAGCAGATTATTCGAACTCTTTGAACAATCAGCGGCTTCAACAACCACGGCTTCCTTCCCCGGGCCAAAATGAACATTCTGCCTTGGATCCTGTTGTGCTAATCGCAGGTATGCAACACTTTATTTTAAAATTATTCATGAATTTGCTGTAGGTGGAGACAGAGTATATTTTATTATTTGTCTAATAGATCACTTATATTGAGCCCTCTGCACTATGGCACATATTACCATAGAGAGAATGAGATAGATTAAAACAATTTAGCAACATGGGGCCATGGGAGATAGTGCTTTTTAGCCAATGAAAGACCTGAGTGTATACTTTGACCAGAACACACTTTTAATCCTCTTTGATCTTCCCATGAATGACCCTCTTTTACCAATTCCCGACCATGGCTTTGCAATTTTCTTGGTTTTCTGGAACAACATATTTTAGCACAATCTTTTCATCTTTAAAATGACACTTTTTTTAGAATAGAGGATGTCACCGTATACCATTGAATACAAATGATAGCAAGCAGCAATTGTACTGAACCTTAGTCGCAGGGCTAGTAGCAGTTTAATTAAGATGATAAAATTATTATTTTTGCTTAATGTTGGAGGCTAGAAATGATATGGTACTTCTTGGGTTGGATGGGTGTGACTTTGGAGAGAGCGAAATGGAGGGTGAATATACGCTTGGAGTATTGATCTATTTTTCTCTTTTTTTTTTAAACTCTGATTTCATATGTTGATTCATGTTAGCCAACCCCAAACTCTTTTGGAACTAAGAGTTGGAAGTTGTTGGAGACTAGAGAGTATTTTGCTGCTGTTGTTGGAATGGAAAATGAAATATTCTTGACATGTATGTAGGCAATGTTCATTTTGCTTGTCAATGTCATTCTGTAATCCCTAAACTAAAGTTGAGGCAATGTTTATACTCTCTGACTTTGGAACCTTTAAACATCCTAACACCTTCAGTTTTAGGTTTGATCAATGATATATTAGATTACATGCACTGCTACAAGGGTGAAACAAGTTTAAAGGGACTGTTACCTATGCCTTTGTTCTATTCCATGTTTTTGTTTTTCATTGATAAAGGAAATATATGACAATTCACCATATTTGACTTGTAGGCCTCGATTGGCTTTCTGCTTATCATCTAATAAGTAGTCTTTGAAATATTTAGTTGCCTGAAATTGATTTTACCAAACATCAGTTCTTTCATAAAACTGAGCTGATCCAGGCAATTCAGGTGCAAAAACCCTCAAGAGCCCTGAATTCAATTTCACCTTTCTGAGTCTCGGTGGTAGCAACACCTAGCCTCTCCTTCATAAGTGCAAGACTTTCTTTGCTTATGTGTTTTTTCAGAATTGACACCACCTATGCATACATCGCACCACTTAGGAACTAAGCTACAGCACTCCCGCCAAGTGACTTTTAGATTTCGTTATACTGATTTTGGTTTAAACTAAACCATTAGCTTTATCTCCGTTTTTTGGATTTGCAGGTTCAAGTTATAGTAATGATAATATGGGTGCTGCTAGGTACCCCCACAATCAGTCCCATATTATGACATCAACTTCTCGTATGCCCCATTATGAAGACCCTCCATATGTTCACAACCATCACCTAATCAACAACTCTCACCAGATCCAAAACATACATCACTATGATAGCAATATCGGCCTTGCTCTCGCCCCTCCCCATTCTTCTTCATGCTTCCCAACATCTGTTCAAACCAATCTCAATTCTTTTGAGGAATATATGTCAGAGGAGGAGATTCGTATGAGAAGCCATGAGATGCTCGAGAATGAAGACATGCAACACTTGCTCCGGCTATTCAGCCTGGGCAGCAGCGGCCATGCGTCAGTCAACATTACGGAAGATGGATACGGCGGTGGCGGCTTCACTCCTTTCATGTCAGCCCCGTCTCCTAACTTTGGTTATGACGAGGACCGCCCTCGCCCGGGAAAAGCTGTTGTCGGTTGGTTGAAGATAAAAGCTGCAATGCGGTGGGGTTTTTTTATCAGGAAGAAGGCGGCCGAGAGACGGGCCCAACTTGTAGAATTGGATGATGAATAGAAAGAAGAAAGTATGCTCGCTGCTGTGAAGAAATTTATATAGGGCATTGAGACGAGCTAGATTTCTCCAAGGCTTGAGTGAATGATACCTCGTTTTTTGTCATTAGATAATCCAAGATAATTTGCACTTTCGGTCCCACAGTAATTAGGTGATTCCTGACTTTGGTCACTGGCATCCATTTTTCCACTTTTGGAGCAAGACTGGATGTTTTCCAGTTGTCATTTCAGGTTGATCCAGTTGCCAGGAAAGAACTATAAATGGTAAGATATCTACTGTTACACCAAAAGTGGAAGAAGATGGGGGACCACAAGTTAGAATGACCCAGTGTGAGACCAATAGCAGAAAGTTTTCGATAATCCAATGTACAGAAAGGCCTGTACATAAGTTATTTTTCTCTTTTTGTCTGACATTATATTTTCACTTCTTTCTGTATTTTCTATTTTTGTCAAATGTCAATGGTGATGGATTGTTTTAATGTCATCCAAAGGAATGGCGTTGCCCTTCTGGATGTTGAATTGTAAAACCACCTTTGAGATGCAATGCAGTTGATGATTGAAATTAAAATTTCCATAATCTTAACAACAGTGTGAAGCGTGACCATGTGCTGTTAAAATACTCCTCCATTAATCTGTCTGTGTCTGCTATATTTTTTGGCGCCTGTTTTTATATCTATTTCTTGCATATCCACTTAATTCTACTTAGATTATACATAATCTCAATTAATCTTTGATTAGGTTGATAGAGTATATAGACTCGGACTCCCGGGTCTCACGACTATTGGGCTTGGACAGAGGCCCACACATGCTTATCGGATGTCATTTGCATTTTAGGGGTGGACTCGGTTCTGGTCCCGCACCGGCTATGGTTGGACTCGGGCCGGGTCGGGCCCGGGTCGGGCCGACAGTTCGATATAGCTGGACCCGGGACCGGCCCGGGTAGCCACTGGGTCCGGTCCGGGCCGGGCCGGGCCTCGGGTTTGGTTATTTTTTTTTTTGCTTAGCTACCCATCCTTGACCCCCCCTCACCCCCAGCCCCCAAACCCCCCCAAACCCTCCTAAACATCAAGCCCAACCCGGTGGAGCCCAAACAAGGGCCGGGCCGGAACAGTACCGGTCCCGGGCCGGTTCCGGGTCGGGCCACCTGGCCCGAGTCCAACCCTAGGACCGGCCGGTCTCGGGCTCAAATATTGAAGATCTGAACCGACTTGAGTTTTTTGGACCCGGTTCCGGTCCGCCGGTCTGGTCTACCCGATCAGTTCTAGTCCGATCTACCCGGCCGGATTTGGTCTGGTCCTTATATTTTTTAATTATTGGAGAATAAATAAAGAATGTATATTTATTTTAAACATTACATTGTCACTTGATTCAATATCACATTTGAAAATTACAATTGAGAATACTTTAAAGTTGAAAATTACAATACATGAACTAATCGTCGGAGCCGCTTCGGGCGTCGGTTGTCGTTTCCTCCATGACTTCTTGTGTTCTACGGTGGGCCTTCAAACAATCATGGAAGCAAATGAGTGTCTCGAGAGAAGAAGTGCTCAACCTCATTCTATAGTCAGTTAAAATGTTACCGGCTTCGCTAAACTCTTGTTCCTAGGGGTGGACTTGGGCTGGGTGGCCAGACCCGGAACCGGCCCGGGACCGGTACTGTTCCGGCCCAGCCTGACCCGGTGGCTCGGTCAGTGACCGGTCCGGGTAGGCCCGACCCGTGGGTTTTCCGGTCCGAGCTCGGGTCACCCAAAACAAGGCTCGGTTCGGGCAAAAATTGATTTTTTTTCAATTTTTTTTTAAATTTTCGGGTTGGGCTGGGTATTTTGGGCCATTTGGGGTGGTTTGGGGGATTGGGGTGGGAGGGGGGTTAATTAGGATTTAGGAAGAGGGGAAAAAATTGATAATAGGCTCGGCCTGGCCTGGACCCATCTATTCAGAACCGGCGGCCCGGCCGGGCCCGACCCAGCCCGAGTCCTAGTTGTTCCACGACAACAGTTGAAACCGACATCAACAACACTTGTTTGACCATTTTTTATAAAACCGGAAACATCCCTTCGTGGGTCTTCCACCATTGGAGAATATCAAAGTCCTCCGCTTCATTAAACTCAACAAGAAACGTCAGATATAAAGAGAGCTCGTTAATCGAGCTTTGTACAACGACATGAGTTGATTTACTTTCTTTCAAAAGAGTAGATATTGTTGATTTAAAAAAAAACCTCTTTCTTTAGATGAGGAAGCACTCAGTGTTGGGGGAGAGGGCGCATTATCATATTGTGCATGAAACTCATTAAATAAAGCGTGAAATAGATTACTAACATCGTTGAATTGGGCTTTAGGATCTATATGTGTGTCTTCGTACATAGGGAATGGACCGTAGAAAGTAGTATAATAGTATTGTAAAAATGTTTTATAATTTGAAAGTTTGAAACGAGGATCAAGACAAAAAACAATAGATAAATAGGCGGAATGTAGGCAAAATATTTTTAAAACTTTTCTTTCATGTAATCACAAAAACAATGTACATAAGTAGCTTGAGATTTTTTTTGAAAAACACCGACGAAATTAACATCTTCTATAAAAAATTGATTGCTAGTTGGTTTAAAATAAACTAAAACGTTGCAAATCTTTTCCATTGTGTCGATCTCAATCGGTTCTATAATATAATTACAAGTTTTTTTCATGAAAGTAGGAAAATGATCTTTAAATCTAAGAAGCACAACACTTAAATTATAAGTATTGTTCCAACGAATAGAAAGATCTTTAGGAAAAGCACAATACCTTACACCTTTGGACTTCAAATAAGCACGTCATTGCATTTTCAATGGATTACTACCCCAAATCAATCTAATAGTCCCCTTAACTTTCTCCATCACATTTCCTAATGCGGCTAAGCCTTCTTTCACACATAAATTAATAATATGACCTCCACAACGTTGATGAAAAAAATTTACCATCAAAGTAGACGGACCACATAATTCACGCAATCTAGGTATAGAAGCAATATTGTTAGTAGCATTATCAAAGCCAATAGCAAACACCTTATCGATCAAACAATTTTCAACTAAAATACGTTCCATGAGAATAAAATCTCGAAAAGCGATAACACATTTATGTATTTGACAATCATCATCAATCCAATGTACAGTGACACTCAAATAATACAAGTGATGATTAGTATCTTCAAAAGATATTGTTACGCGTCCAAACAGTTACGTGTCCATTAAAGTTTGCAAAAAATTGTATTAATTTTTCATTTTCAAAAAGATACTCCCTCTCTCCCTTATAACTTTGCCAACTTTCCTTTTTTAGATGTCCCATTAACTTTGCCACTTTCCTTTTTCAGTAACGAATTTGTGGTTTCAGTTAATTTTCTCTCCTCTGCACAAACCTCAACCACACAGTTTTTACTTTATTAATCCCCGTGCCGGTGAAACTTGGCAAAGTTATTAGGGACGGAGGGAGTATTGTTTAATAACTTGTTTTTTAATTGTTTTGCAGCTATAGTTTCGAAATTGTGGATTTAAATAAACTTGAGCATAAGCACGTAAAGCAAGACTTTCAGAAAAAATAAAAGGCAAATTTTCTTCAGAAATTAACTCAGACATTGCTTTTAAATGTACCTCATCATTGTAAGAGAAATTACCGAAGAGTTGATCGTTTGCAAACCTCGATATTTGTGTTTGCGTCCCCTTGCGCTTCATTTTCGCCGCTTACGTGGGGTGCCTCGTGTTTAAGTGCCTTTGCACCATGTCGTGGCCTCCCGAAGTACCCATGCACAATATTTGCGGACAATGTTGGCAATGTGTGTAATACTTCCCGTCCTTCGGATCCTTGACCTTCTTAAAATAATCTACAAAAAGAGGAGACTTTAGTTTAAACTTACATTTTTTGGCCTCTTCGGATCCACCCGTGACGCCTCCATGCTCCTCCTCGTCATCCCCGCCGCCTTTGTGCTCCACATTCCCGCCGCCTCCTCCAACATCCTCCTCGGCGTCAACGTCCTCCAACTCCTTGGGGATGTTTTGTTGATGGTAAAATTGGCCTTGATTTTGGTTCAAGAGATCTTGAAGTTGCTCATCGGTCATCACATCTCTACGATCATAATCGGTTGTCCAATCATCGCGTGATTGGGACGAAGATGCTGCCCCTATTTGTCGTTTACCTTTCGACCGGCCCGACTGGCCCGACCGGCCCGAAGGATGACCTCTCGCAATCCCGTTTGGTCGATTGCGTTGGAGATTACCTATATCAACGGATTTCCTAGCCCGGTCCATTATCTTAAAAATGTTACAAAAATACAAATTACAAATTACAATGTCACTAAATTGAATTACTAACTCCAATTTTAATACAAAAAAAAATTAATTGATTATAATGCAACAACTAGTAACCACTACAAAAAAATAGTACCTAGAATTTGCAATATTAACAACTACAATTTAAAATAAATGCAAGTACTACCAAAAAAATTGTTAAATGATTAAAATGTAACAACAATAAAAATGATATTATATTTAATGCAACTAAAATGTTACAAAATGCAACTAAATAAATTTTGACTATTAATGTATATAGTATATATATATATAAATTATATTATATTATATATATACATATATATATTCTATATAATATATCTTATATATATTATATTATATATTCAATTTATTTTGTGTGTGTGTGTGTGTGTGTATATATATATATATATATATATATATATATAGGAAAATTCTCAGGTCCGAACGTTCAGACCTGAGGTGTTGTCCGAACACCGCCGTTCGGGGCTGTTCCCGGTGAAATGTTTTATGAAATTTTTATGGTATGTTCTTCATCAAGTCTAGTTTATACAAAAAAAAAATTAAGCTCAAAATTAGATCGGGAAGACCGTCAAATAAATTTTGAAAGTTGACTGGGTTTTTCTATGTATAATTGTGCGCAATTAACTTCCAAAAATTATTTGACAACATTTCCGGTCGAATTTTGAGCTGATTTTTTGTGTGCATAAACTAGACTTAATGAAGAACATACCATAAAAATTTCATCGAAAAATTCCACTAGGAACCGCCCTGAACGGCGGTGTTCGGACGGCGTTCGGACCAAAACCTGCTTGACAGGAGAACGACTCTCTCTCTCTCTCTCTCTCTCTATATATATATATATATATATATATATATATATATATATATGTGTGTGTGTGTGTGTGTGTGTGTGTGTGTGTGTGTGTGTATATATATATATGGTCAGGTTCTAATGAGAAGACATCTTAACGTAGGAAGTGAGAAGTTACACATTTACCTCTTTCTGATGCAGTTTTTTGCTAATCTGATGCACTTTTTGCGATGGCAGAAAAGTTTCGATTAATTACGGAAATGCCACCGCATCTAGCATCACTTTTTTTAATAGTTTTTGCACTTTCTCAGCCATTAGATCTTAAATTGAACGCACTAGATGCATTCTCACTTCTTACGATAATTACTGTTCTCATTTGAGCCTTATTCTATATATAGAGAGAAAAGATCCCACGAGAGGTAATATCTACAGTCCGATTAGGTATCAAGCTTAGAGACCGCCACTTTCATTAATGGCAATTGCTGTAAATTATTTCAACTTTGTTCCTTTTAATAGATGGACAATTTTTAATAAGA